CATTTGTTTTATATTTATTCATTCAAAAATTATACATAGACATGCCTGTCAGAATATATTATACACACACACACGCACACACACACTCACACACATACTAACACATGAAAAGAGTATCCTGAGGAAGCTTTGCTGATGAGACTTGAGAGATGCACAGACGACCACAACTGGACCAAATGTAGAAAATAAGAGACTATAAAGTGTGTGTCCCTGAACAGGACTCCTGTATTAAACCTCATCCATCCAGGGCTCAGAGACCATTGCAGAAGAGGCGGCAGAAAGATTGTAAGAGGCAGGGTGGCGCATGACCATAAGGAAAGAGAGTATTCCAGGCTTCTGGGAACTTGCTCATTTAAACTTACAGCAATAGTGACGGCATGCACAAGACCCATACAAACAGACAAAAACCTAGCATAGAACTGAGGAAATGGGCAAAAGGCATCGATCTTAGCCAAGGAACTATTGGCAGCTGATCACTGCTGGGTGAGGGGGAATTGATCTTCTTTAATGGAGTGATGCTAGATGGGCTTACCAGGTTCCAGCGGATGAACTGATACCAAGGGACATGTGGGTGACACACTTAACTTGATAGACCTTAACATACGTGACAGAATGCATGAAATCTGGTGGGTGGGCTATGGGGGGAGTTGTAGAAAGGGGGAGTGGTTCTAAATATGATTAAGATGTATGAAATATGCAAAAATTCAATAAAAACATACATTGAAATTTTTTTAAGTATCATGCAGTAGTCTTGGATGGAAATTCAGTGGTAGAACACTTGATTTGCATACATAAAACCCTGGATTCAGTCTACCACACCGCAAAAAGGAACATGGGTTTTGAAGATCAGATGAACACGAAGCTTTCCATTTTCTCTTCTAAGCATTGGGTTATATGTTGGAATGTATGGTGTTCTCCATTTAGACTATCTATAGTGACACCTTGGCTGATGCTGGTTTATACTTCACAACTTCCAAACATGCACATTCTCATTCTATACAGCTATAAAACTCAGACAAGTTCTATTGAAAATGTAAATTCTGTATCAATAAACCGTTCAGGCCTTTTCTTAATCTGTCTTTATTATTTGTCTATTTCTGTTTAGCAAATTGAACCATGTTAAAGCTGCTAATTAAGGTTTCAAAAATACTGACAATTATCTGACATCTCATATATTTATATCTTAAACCATTGTTATCTTTCTCCTCCCTGGAATTCAGTCTAGGAAACACTTACACCTTGATCAAGTCCCAATTTTCAAGTTTAGAACCAATAGCTATAAATCTGAGCATAGCCATGTCAAGAAACTAAATGATGTTTCTGAACCTGGCTTATTTTCACTTAGTGTGATCTCCAGTACCATCCATTCTGAAAACAACATAATTTTGTTCTTGTTACTGCATAAATAATATATATATATACACATAGTGATCTGATCTAAACATCGGATTCTTTTCTTCTAATCATCCATTGATGAAGATCTACTGAGTTCATAACTTGGTTATTATGAATAAAGTGCACAGTAAACATGGGTATGCAGGTAGCCTTATTGGGTGTTGCCTTTTTATCCCTTAGGGTATGTACCGAAGAGTAATATAGCGGGACCATGTACTAGTTCTACTTATTTTTAGTTTTTTGAGGAACTTCTATACTGATTTTCAAAGTTGCTGTACTAACTTACATTCTTACTAACTGTGTGTAAGTGTTACTTTCTTGTATATGTGGGATCTGGGAAAGGGACTACTGGAGGGTTGGCGTAATAATCATGGATGACAAGAGATGAATACCAACAAATTACCTTACATACATGTATGAAAGCATCATGATGAAATCCACTGTTATACCATTAGTATACTCTACTCACACAGTGCTACATGACCTTGAACAAGCTACTTATCTGCTTTGGATCTCCTTTACCTTCTCTGTAAAGTGTTGATACCTGTATTTTCAAATGTTAGGAGAATTCATTGATAAAATACAAAAAGAGAAATAGTATTACCAAAATTAAAAAATTAAATGTGACACTCTAATATTATTTTTCCTATAAATTTATGTATATATTTCTTTACAGAGAAATATTCTAAGAATTGGGTATAAAATGAATGTATATTTCTGTTATCTCTAAGGTCTAGAACACTGATAGGTCATTTGTGAGTGTTAATGCACACTTATTGACAGATAGTAATCTCCCAGCATATCTATTGTGGTTTGTTTAAAACAATTCTTAAAGCAGACAGTATCATCAATGTAAAAACATGATACATTTAGTTTGTTGAATCCCACACATCTGAGAATTTAATGAAATGAGAATGATAATCTTGTCTACAATATTCCTATGCAGCAAGCCTAACAAAAGAAGACTACTTTATTACCTGCATCTATCACTGTGCTCCAGTACAGAATGAATTTGGCTTCTGTCTTCTCTCTAATACTAGCACACAGACTACTTATAAAGGCAGCTCAGACCTCTGTGGGTGTCTACAGCCAATGTGATTCCACAGGGATTTCACCTCTGCTCTAGGAAATGTCCCTTGAGGAGTGATATGTAGCCACCAAGGCTATTCCATTCTCATTTCCCTAAGAACGCTAAACCCTTTCTTCAGACAACACACCTCAAAGTTCATATCATTTTATTGTTTTTACCTGCATTCTGTCTATCTCTGTCTCTCTGTCTCTCTGTCTCTCTGTGTATCTGTTACAGGGATTTCACCTCTGCTCTAGGAAATGTCCCTTGAGGAGTGATATGTAGCCACCAAGGCTATTCCATTCTCATTTCCCTAAGAACGCTAAACCCTTTCTTCAGACAACACACCTCAAAGTTCATATCATTTTATTGTTTTTACCTGCATTCTGTCTATCTCTGTCTCTCTGTCTCTCTGTCTCTCTGTGTATCTGTTTCTCTCTCTCTCTCTGTCTCTCTCTCTCTGTCTCTGTCTCTCTCTCTCTCTCTCTCTCTCTCTCTCTCTCTCTCTCTCTCTCTCTCTCTCTCTCTCTCATCCTAAGCCAGATTCCATTATAGCCAGGCATGGTGGCACATGACTTTAATCCCAGAATTTGGGAGGCAAAGGCAGGAAGATCTCTGGGAGACCGAGGCCAACCTGGTCTGCATAGTGACTTCCAGACCAGCTGGGGCTACAAGGAGACTCTGTGTCTCCAAAAAAAAATCCAAAAGAAAAAAGATTCCATCCTAACATTGGTTCAAATTCTCAGACTATTCTCAGTCCCAGTGATGACACTATGCTGCAATTTGTCCTGAAACAGGGCTGGACAGAAGGAAGGACTGCCTCGATTCTGTCCAAAAGAAACACAAAATTCTTTGAATTTGCCGGCTTCTTTGGTTTTCTGATTTGCAGCTTCAATCTACAAACTGTGTAAGTTCTGTCGTTTATTAGTACACACTTGTATAATGGTACTTTGTCAATGAGGTAATTCTGGAACAGCTGGCTACTCCAGTCTGTGCCTTGTGTCGTCTGTCCTTCCTGCTCCTCTTAACCTCATTTATTTTCCTTCACAGACATATCTTCAAAGAAAATAATCACAAGTCATATAGAAATATTTTCATAGTGATCATTTTTTCTTAGCCGTGCCTGAAAGTATATAGCAGAGCTTTATTTTCTTTTGTTTATATTTTATTGAGCTTTTGTACATTTCATACAACAGTTCTTAATGAAATTTAGACCTCCTCCCCCGTCAGTGCCCCTGACACACACACCTGCTGGACCTCATGCACTCTGCCATGCATGTTAAATCCTATCCAGTAAAGCACTTGTACCCAGATGTCCTTCAGTACAAGTTCATCCACTGGAATCTAGTCAGTGTGCCTGTAAATTATACAGCTTGCAACTTTAAGTTTATCCACCTTATGCAAGAATCCTACAGATGGCCCAGGGTTCAGGAAGGTTTCTGTGGGAAAGGAAAAGTTTCTCTTCCTTGGGGCCATCATGTGCTTCAAGCCTTGGAGAGAGAAGTACATGGAGGACAATACTAAAATGTGATCACCTTCATACCAATAACTTTTGTCAGACCACATTCTCTTTCATAAATGATGCATCCATATCTATTGGGCATATAAATCAGTCTTCTAGAACACCACATTTAATTAGTATGAGCAGTGTTAGAAGCATTTGCGATAACAGGTAACTCAAAAAATATTTCTGTTGCTAAGTGACTGAAATGAATGAGATTTTCAAATTTTCTTATGAAAAAATGTATAGAAAACAAACTAAGGGGGCTGGAGAGATGGCTCAGAGGCTAAGAGGACTGGCTGCTCTAGCAGAGGACTCAGGTTCAATTTCCAGCACCCACATGGCAGCTAACTGTCCACAACTCCAGCTCCAGGGAATCTGATGCCTTCTTCTGACCTCCACAGGCACTGTACAACATGGGTGCGCTTACCACATGCAGGCAATAAACTCATACATATAAAATAAAAATAATAAATAAATTTTAAAAGAAAACAAAAAGAACACAAAGTGTTAGGGTATAACACCACAGTACATTATAAACTTCAACCAAAACACTGAATGGGGATGCTTAAGTCATTTTCTGTATAGTTTTTAAAGCAAGGGTTTTTCCCTCCTATTCCTTTATTCATAAAATATGAACAATAATACCTCATAAGACCTGAGAGTATTTCTAGGAATTGCATGAAAAATTTACCTTCATTGCAGCTCAAACATCTCCCAGTCATAAGAAGATAAATATCTTCTGCCTTTAAAACTTTTATTTCTGCTAAACTCTTTTTTAGTTTTTTCTGAAATGTCTAGATTTTTCTTTTTATTTTTTATCCCTCTTATATTTTTATTGAATGTTAGTGTATTTCATACACAACATCTTAATCATCTTTCTACCTTTAGAGTCATACACTCTTTGTTAGTACTCCTTTGGAACTATAAAAGCTGGGCCTAACATTTCAGACTGTTTGAGGTTCCCAGTTGGGAAGCAGCCGTCCATATTTGAATACCTTCCTGTCTGTGAGCTTATCTGAGAGAAAACAGCAGTCATCTGATCTTGCTTCCAATCTTCAGGACATGGAGAAGCCTTTCTCGGATCTGCTTGGTACGGACAGCATAGACAATGGGATTGAGGATGGGAGGAATGAGGAGATAGAAGTTGGCCAGTAGGGTGTGGATGGGAGGAGGTACGTGGTGACCAAATCGGTGAATGAGGGACGAAACAGCAATGGGAACATAAAAAATCAGAATGGCACAGATATGAGAGCCACACGTCCCCAGGGTTTTAAGTCTGGCCTCGGGAGTGGCCAGCCCCATCACAGCCCTGAAAATCATCACATAGGAGGCTGCAATGGCTGCTGAATCCAGGATCAACACCAGAAAGCCAATGCTTAGCCCATACACATTGTTGACTCTGCTATCACCACAAGTCAGGGTCACCACAGCCATGTGCTCACAGTAGGAGTGGGAGATGACATGGGCTTTATAAAGAGGCAGCCGCAGGCGAATCATAAGAGGTAGGGGCCCAATGTAGATAACTCCTCGGAGAAGGGCAGCTAGCCCCAAACGACCCACCACTACATGGGTGAGCACCATGCTATGATGTAGTGGGTCGCAGATGGCCACATAGCGATCAAAAGCCATGGCAAGGAAGATGCCTGATTCAACAGTAGCAAAGCAGTGAATAAGAAACATCTGACCTAAGCAGGCACCCAGGCCAATATCACCAGCACCAAACCAGAAGATTGCCAGAAGTTTGGGCATAGTGGAAGAAGACAGAATTAGGTCAATGATAGCCAACATGCACAGGAAGAAGTACATGGGCTGATGCAGGCTGCGTTCTCCCCTTACCACAGCCAGGATGGTGATATTACCCACCACAGCCACCAGGTACATAGAGCCAAAGGGGATGGAAAGCCAAATGTGCAGGGACTCCAGTCCTGGGATGCCAGTAAGCCAGAAGGAGGTGGGTACTGAGCAGACATTATGATAGGTAAGCATTGCTGTTTATAAATGAATCTTCTTATTAGTATCCCAAAATGTAGCCAAACCTTTTCTCCTAGAAAGAAAAAAATATTCTTGAGCCATATCATAAACATCATTGACTAGATAAAGTGATACATAACTTTAGAAGAAATTGTCGAATTTCATACAACATAACATTTCATGTTATACTAAAATATCTATGAAACTTAAACAGATGCAGCTAAAATACATATTTAATGAATGTGTGAATTTTTTTGGTCTTTTCTTTGAATTTTTAATAACTACATGATTAGAAGAAGCATTTCACTACAGGTTTTTCAGTGACACACTCCAGAGCAAGAGTACATCGTTTTCACAAGTGGCTGCAAGTTTCGAGGTTCACAGTTGAATTAATACAGTTACACAATATTGAACTCAGTATAAGCCCTGTAAGACATAAAATTGAATGAGTCTTTAACCTTTAAAAAAGATGCTACTAACACCGAGATGTTGGCGCATGCATCTCTAATCTGTATGTATCTGATTATTACGTACTTGGATCCTTGGAGCCTGTGTATGTCTATAAAAGTCATTGGGTAGATTTCAATGGTAATGTTTATGTAGACCAGGCTGGCCTTGAACTCACAGAGCTGTATGTATCTGATTATTACTAGTCGTAATCAGTTGCACTTGGATCCTTGGAGCCTGTATATGTCTATAAAAGTTATTGGGTAGATTTCAATGGTAATGTTTATGTAGACCAGGCTGGCCTTGAACTCACAGAGATCCATCTGCCTCTGCCTCCCGAGTTCTGGGATTAAAGGTGTGCGCCACCATGCCCTTCTCAGGGAGTTATAGTTCTACATCAATAAGTGACTTGACCTAAGGCAGATATGAATCCATTTGGCCATTTACCTCTTCAGGTATATTACAAAGTGACTGTTGGGATCGTACTAGAATGATCTACAGAATGACTGTTCCATGAAGAAAACATGACAGAGCTGAGATACAGACTTACTATACTCTATGGTAAATTAAACCTTAATCTTGGCACCAGTGTTAACTACCTGGATAAGCTGAAATAACGTCTAATCTTTGGGCCAAAAATAACAAGGCAGTGATGAGGGGGGTGAACATGGAGCTTCCAGATGCAAACGTGGTGATTCCTGGAAGAGGAAGGCTGGTTGAGATTATCTTGTGTATATGACACCCATGGCAAAGGCTTCCTTCTCCCTTCGTGGAGGCTGACCGTAAGGATTCTTAGAGAACTTTGTCACAAGGAAGGAGGAAGACAGTGCAGCGTGAGAAGACTAGGAGCTGAATATATGAGCAAAGAAATGGCA